GTATCTCTATTTTTAACACAATTGCGAAACCTTCAACAAAGCCAAACACTGAACTGATTGCAAGTTATTGTAACAGATAGAAATCAGAAGCTATGACAATTTACATAAATCTCTGCAGCAAATGCTTCAAACACAAAAGAAAACAGAGAGAGAGAGAGAGAGAGAGAGAGAGAGCGAGGGAGAGACAGCCGGAAACGTTTTCGGTTCAATGACATTTTTACTTTCCCAATCACATTTCGTTCACATATATCTTCACTGACAGCCACTCCGGGCGACTGTTCAAATGTTGAGGAATTTATGTGTTATGATGTCAATCCACATTATCATTGCTCATACCGGGAGCTCATCAAATTTTCAATAGCTCTGTCAGGCTTAAGTGAGTGCTCCTTACGTCAGCTGTCGTCTGCTTGAAGGGGCCGTGTTAACAGGCCATGGCTTAATTAGAAGCTACATGGAGTTCATACCTATCTGATTTCAAGCTTGGATCAGCGCATTTAGATCTGACTGTCAAGTCCCAAATTTATAGTCCAATTAATCGTGTGTGGGGCGTCGTGGGGGCGCGGGCTACGCTGCGTAGTCGCTATAAATTGATTGATGGCAAATTCGTGTCCTTGTCGCAGCAATTTGTTAAACCCCGAAAAAAGGATTCTCATGTCCTACCAGCAGCTGTAAAGAAGCAATTTAAATTTCGTAAATAGATTTGCCAAATCGATACGCCGAAGGACCCTTTTTGCGGCCTGCTGCTGCTCCTTTTTTTCTCGTTTCTCGTTTGCCTATTTAAAATATATAAATATTTTAAGTTAATAAATGCGGCATCAACTCGACTGGCGCCTGCGGTCGCTATCTACAAGTTGGACAAGTGCTGAAGATACACACAAACAGAAGCACACACAAATACACACACACACACACACACACACACACACACACAGATACACGGAAGCATCGACATTTGCATAAACCATGCCTTGGCCCCGGATTTTTGTTTGCCTTGTTTGGCAAAGCTGCCCTTTTCCAACATTATCCGCCCGCGGCCAGGCTCTAGCTACAGCTTCAGCTCGAGTTTGTTAAAGAGTTCGCCAGGAGCAGTAGCAGCCGGAGCAGCTCAGGTTAACTTTACAGCCGGCTAATGGTCGATGAGCCGCTGGGAGCTCCTTTAAGCTGTTGCCTTTTATCGCTACAGCAACAACAGCAACGCCAGCTAAACAAAGGCAGCCAGTTGTATGCCACAAACTGCGGCACATGTAAATTGAACCTCAACACACACACACACACACACAAATGCAAGCACACGTTGAGAAAAAAAAAAGAAAAATAGACATAAAAATCGTATTTTAAATAAAATCACAAGTCAAGAGCAGCACAAAAAAATCAATGAGGCTCACACAATTTATAGCAAAACATGTTCGCCTCTTGTTCTTGCTGCCTTAACACCCTATAAATAATACCCTATACCCAATACCCTATACCCAATACCCTATAAATAAGTAGAAGTAGAAGTAGAAGTAGAAGTAGAAGTAGAAGTAGAAGTAGAAGTAGAAGCAGTAGAAGTGAAGTAGAAGTAGAAGTGGGGAAGTGAGAGTGGAAGTGGGGGTGGGGTGGAGTGGGTGAGTGGGTGGAGTGGAAGTGGGTGGGAGGAAGTGGGTGGGTAGGTGGAGGTGGAGTGGGTGGGGGTGAGTGGGGGTGAGGAGTGAGGTGGGGGAGGTGAGTGGGGAGTGGAGTGAGTGGGTGGGGGTGAGTGGGGGTGAGTGGGGGTGAGTGGAGTGAGTGAGTGGAAGTGGAGTGGAGTGGGGTGGGTGGAGGTGAGTGGAGTGGAGTGGGAGTGAAGTGGGGGTGGTGAGTGGAGGTGGAGGTGGGGGTGGGTGGTGGGTAGAGTGGGGGTGGGAGTGAGTGGGGAGTGGAAGTGAGTGGGGGAGGTAGAGTGGGGGTGGGAGTGAAGTGAGTGAGTGGAGTGAAGGTGAGTGGGGTAGAGTGAGAGTGAGAGTGGGAGTGAGGTGAGTGGAGGTGGGGTGGAGTGGGGTGGGAGTGAGAGTGGAGTGGGAGTGGGAGTGGGAGGTGAGTGAGGTGGGTGGGAGTGGGGGTGAGGTGAGTGGAGTGGGGGTGAGTGAGTGGGTGGGGTGGAGGTGGGGTGAGGTGGAGTGGGAGGTGGGAGTGGGAGTGGGGGTGAAGTGGGGTGGAGGTGAGTGGGAGGTGGGTGGAGGTGAGTGGAGTGGGGGTGGAGGTGGGGTGGAGTGGGGGGTAGAGTGGAGGTGAGTAGAGTGGGGTGGGGGGGTGAGTGGGGGGGAGTGGAGTGGGGGTGGGAGTGGGTGAGTGGGGTGGAGTGAGGTGGAGGTGGAGTGGAGTGGGGGTGGTGGAGTGAAGTGAGTGAAGTGAGAGTGAGTGGGGGTGGGGTGGGGAGTGGGGGTGGAGTGGAGGTGGGAGGTGAGTGGGGGGTGAGTGGAGTGAGTGGAGTGGGTGGAGGTGAGTGGGGGGAGGGAGGTAGAGTGGAGGTGAGAGTGAGGGAAGTGAGTGAGTGGGGAGTGAGTGAGTGGGGAGTGAGTGAAGTGAAGTAGAAGTAGAGAGTGAGTAGAAGTAGAAGTAGAAGTAGAAGTAGAAGTAGAAGTAGAAGTAGAAGTAGAAGTAGAAGTAGTCTAATTTACAGAGTATTTCCCAGCCGGTCACTCACACTTCAAAGAACTCAGCTTGTTTTTGCCTAACTAGTGCTATAAATTATGCTCCAAATAGACAACCAAGACACATACACCCGCATACACCCGCGCAGCTACTTGCCACGCCTAGACACATAAAATATTGCACATGACTGGCTTTTAGCCAAAGAGAAGCAAATCAAATGGGCAACAAGTCGGGGGCTAATCCCACCCATCTATTCCCAATAGCCGATTTTGAGGCGCAACTGCGCGTATCGAATGAAAAGTTGTTGCCGCCTTTTAGGCAGACAAACAGCCGCGGAAATGATTTACTTGCCGGCTGAGCAGATTCCAGGGCTTATCTAGGCTGGGGGAAAACACGAGAAGGTAAGGCGCTTATAGATCTCTGAATTTGTTCTAGCTGGATTTGCAAGCGTATTATGTAGTGTCTATCTCGCTCTATATCCCTCTCTCCATCTGACGCTCAGCTCATTTGCATGCGTGAGAGCTATAAATGTTAATGACACATGCCAGCTGGCCACACCCCACGCCCACATGCCACATGCCACATGCGACATGCCATACATGCATGTACAATAACAGTTCATTAACAATGCGATAATAGCAGCAGAGAGAAAAAATTTACATAGTTCGATTTAATTTTACAAACGTTTCCAGTTCAATTAATAATTTGTAAAATGACATGTATGCATGTGTGCATGTGTGCGTGTGTTTGTTGTTATTTTTTAATTATGCTTATGATTATTTAATGAGTCTTATACGGCATTTATATTCAGATTTTGGACAGCAGCCACAGCCAGCAAATGACTTTTTTGTTGCGGGCCAGGCCGAGAGCCTCACAATCAATTTTAATCAATAAATAATTTCCGCAACAATCTCTGATTGCATTTTGATGGGCAGGACTCGACAGGCAACGCTTTATCAATGCATATTAAATTATGTATTCTGTTTTTAATTTATTTCAATTTACAAATGAGACAGCTGCTGACAGCGACACACACACACACACACACACACAGCTAGCGGAGTTGAGGCCCAGCCAAGCGCCCACTTCAACTGCTTTTTGTGGGGCTCTTCAGTCGCTCCCAGCTGCGAGGCCTATAAATAAACGGAGTACTTCCGCAGTGCTTGAGCGACCAGCAAATTAACACCTCAGGAAAAAAAACAGTTGAACTACTTAAGCGTAGCTTGAAAAAAGCTAAAAAATTCGAGATATTTGATAAACTAAAAGTTACTCTGTTTTGAAGAAGAAAGACTAAGAATATTTTACTAGAACTTGGCATGACTTAGAGATACTCTACTTATTTACATATATAATATATATATAAAACACACTCAAAGACAACTATAGAAAATACCGAAGATACAAACATAGAAATTCAGTGTGATAAATCTACATATAACGACTGTGCAATATCCTGCATTATCGTATCATCGTATAGTTTCAACACAATCTATAGCCGCCTTATATACCCTACAAATGTATATATTACATAGTCAAATATACCCTATATAACACCCAGAAGATACAGAAGATGCAAATATAGAAGTTCAGTGTGAATATTCAACATATAATGACTATGCCATACCCTGCATTATCGTATCATCGTATAGTTTCAAAACAATCTATAGCCGCCTTATATACCCAACAAATGTATACATTACATAGTCAAATATACCCTATATAACACCTAAATATAAAACCTAAATATAAAAGATACAGATAAAGAAGTTCAGTACGAAAATTCTTCAATGAACGACAGTGCGATACCCTGCACTATCGTATCATCGTTTAATATCCTCACAATCTGCCTTATATACCCGATATAAAACAGCCTACAAATGTACACAAAGTATAGTCAAATATACCCTATATAACACCTATAACTAGCAGCGTATAGCCATCTAGAAAGGTCAAGCACACGTCCACCACTTGACATTGCAGGCAACAGAAAAATAGTAGACACAAAATAAAGTAAAGCAAGGCAAAGGCCGTACACAAATGGCAGAGACTGAAGCGCAGAGACCATCTTAAAGACCCGAGATGATGTCGGAGCTGAAGCTGAAACTGAAACTGAAGAGAGTTTCAAGTGGTGCACTTGAAGCCAGAGGCAACAAAAACAAACACAGCGAAAAATAGAGAGAGAGAGAGAGAAAACGAATTTTTGAAGATTTTTAATTAACTTGAAGCGAAGCGAACCGAGTTCAACTGGAGCTGGAGGCTGGAACTGGAACTCCAACTGGAACTGGAGCTGAGGCCGAGACCAAGGCGAAGGCTAAGGCTGAATTGCCTCAAAAGTTTTTTGCTATAAATGCGACGGTCGACTAGAGTCAAGCCATCAAACAGCCCAAGCAACTTTTAATTGCCAGACGCCGTTAGCCCGAACAAAAAGCGTAAACAACAAGAAAATGGTAAAAACAGGATACAGTATACATATACACATACATATGTGTATGTAAGGATAAGTTAAAGCTTTGCCTTTTGCTGTTGCAGAAAATCTTCTCGCTTGGATCTGTGCTCACCCTCTCCGCCGTGGCCAGCGCCGCCTTGGCTGCACCGCAGGGCGCTGCTCGCCTGCGCCGCGACGTCTCCGAGCTGGCGGATGCCGCCGCCATGGAGTACGTGCCGCCGGCAACGGAGTATCTGCCCGCCGATGCCACCGAGCAGCCGAGCGCTGTGCGGGGCGATGAGGGCTACGAGTATCGCACGGTGCGTCGCCTCAAGCTGCGCCATCGCAACCGGCGCGACGTTTCGCATTTGCCTGGCCAGCAGTACTTGCCGCCGCCCAGCAACAGGTATCTGCCACCTGCAGCTGCACCGGCTCCTGCGGCAGTCGATGACACCGAGGAGGTTGTGTCCGCTGCGCAGCCCAAGGTGGCCAACGAATATCTGCCGCCAGCCGCAGAGGAGCAGCCAGCCAGCACTGAGGCGCCCCCGGCGGAAACCGAAGCGCCGGCTGCCGAGGCCCAGCCCTTGGTCGAGGACCAAATCGTCGTGGATGTGCCCACGGCCGAGCTACGTGACGATGGCTATCACTACAAGCAGCCCGAGGAGATGCCCGCCGAGCTGAAGGAGGCCGCCAAGGAGTACTTGCCGCCTCTCGACGACGGCGTTGTGGTCGAGGGCCCAGCCGATGGCGAGAGCTCGGTCCTGACCAAGGATGGCTATCAATATCGCGCCATTCGCCGTTACAGATTTTAATTTCACCTCGTCCGCAATTTCGCATTTCTCTTTTTGAATTTTACTTTCAACTTTGTTTTTGGAGTTTTTGTTTATGTTTTTTTCTTTTGAATAAAGTAAATCTTTGATTGCATTAAAAATGTTTTTACACTTAAATAGAGGAGTAGAGGAACCCCACACAGACCTGCTAATCCAATCATAGCAAGCTCTTTTATTGCAGACAGGCGGGCATGGCCAGCCACGCCTTCTTCTGCCTCCTTCTTTCATTTCCCATTTTCAATGACTACAATTTTAATGCACTTTTTATAGAGTTTATCTAAAAACTTTGCTGAAGATTTAAGAAATTGATTAATGCTTGCAGCAAAGTTTTGGCTACAAAAAAAGTCAAACTAAAGTAGAAAACGTGAAGAAAATCGTTTAAGTTCTGGCCCAGTTATGTGAGCCAAGGCAAGAGTCTAAGGATGATTTCCACTTCAACTTTTCAGACTTTGTTCAACTGCTTTAATTTGCCTATCTTTGCCACAATACCTATCAAACTCTCTCTCTTTCCCTTTCTCTATGTCTCCCTCTCTCTCGTCCATCAGCGGCTCTTTGCAATTTCTAGCCAAAGCAAATTTCATTACATTTCCTTTCTCCATTAACGATTCACACGGCGTACAAAGCGTGCTCTGCGCTTTTATCTTTACCCTTTTACGCTGCGTATACGCAATATTTTCCTAGTATATGCTCTGACCTTAGTTAACGCCCACTTGTTGGTTAGTTTAGCTGCGGTTAACCAGTTATGGCCGCTGAAATTAGTGTCGATAAAAAGGCTCTTTATTGGAGCACCAATTAGCGCAAAGTTATGTAAGGCATAAATAAATGGGGAAGGAGCGGAGAGTCCCCCTCCCGGGAAATTCGATATGAAAATCATGATAAGGATTATTTAGGGGTATATATGTAGGGGTATACATGTAGCATTTATATATCTAAATATAAACATGCGTTGCCTTAGCATCCTTTAAGGTTTAATTAATGCACTTGGGCGTTAATCTGACAACAACAACAACAACAACAACAACAACAAGAACATGAAACATTAAGTGCGCACTCAAGATAAATTATCTTAGCTTGTTGCCAATGCTGTTGCTGCTCTTGCATATTCCTACTCCCTCCGCTCCCTCCGCTCCTGTTGTAGCTACTTCCTCCTCCTCCTTCTCCTCCTCCTCCACTCCTCTTCCTATTGCTCTTCCTCTTTGGCTGCAATAAAATCGCAAGGCAATTGCAGCTAATGGCTGGCTTAACATTTCTCCCATTGATTTTCGCACACTTTACTGCCACGCCCACTTCATTCTTTTCTGTAATTATGAGCTCAATTGAATGCAAATTAAATTCAAATTGAATCATATCAAAGCGAACTCAATTAGGGCAAACAAATTATAGTTGAATTCTGCTGGGCAAAAAGTGTTAAGGCAAAAGGGAATTCGATGAATGAAATATGGATAAGTGAGAAAAAAGTCATATGAATACGCGCGAGGGCTGTCACAAGTGTTTCCATTGAACTACAATTCGTACTACTATTGGCTCAATTTTATGAATACGTTTAACAACTCATATTGAATTCAGCAACTTTAAATAAGTTATTAAATGTACAGTTCAGCATTTCAGTACTTTAAGAACGATAGATAGAAGCTTCTTAAGCTCTCAGTTCAGTTAATTCAGTATTGAAGCATGGGATAGAAAGATGAATAATTATAGAAAATAGTAATAAAGTCAGGGTTGATTCCAGTGAACCACAACTCGATATACTAATGTCATTTCATGAATTAATAAGATCAAATAGTTAGTTAATTTAAAAATCGTCAGCTTAACTCAAATTAAGTTCCCTCCTTTAATTGAACATCCTATTGAATCACAATTGAAACATCTTTTCTGGGGCAATTGAATAACTAAACAAACAGAATTATTATTTACGAACTACATCGTTCAGTTCATTTGAATCAATGTATAAATACACTGGTTCATTTCGATATGACGCATTAAATCAAGCTTGTGCCGAACAATAGCAAACAAGTCGATGATGGCATTGGTAGCAAATGTAAAGAGATACCGAGGTATAGAGAGAGTGACAGAGATAGAGATATGTATGGAGTGGAAGCAAACAAGATGGAATGTGGTCGAAAGAGTGTCTCTGACAGCCCGCTTATTGCATATTAAATTGCGTGTAACGCACAATGTCAGACAACGGCTGAAATCAAAGCAACAACTAGCCGGAAGGATACTGGGCGAAGGGACAACAGCCTGTTTTTATACATATACCCACACATGTGTATGCGTGTGTGTGTGTGTGTGGAATGTATTATTTTAAGTGCCTGACATATATATAAAAAAAAAAATAAATAAAATAAAATTTAACAAAATATTTGACTCGACAAAATGTCAGCAAAAGGCACTTTTCATGCGTTCCACAAATGAATTTCGATTACCCAATTTTGACTGCAAATTGCAAGCAGAGCTAAGCGCACTCTAATCCCATCTTCAGCTCGAGCTTCATCTCATTAAACTCGCAATCGAGTCCATTGTGGATTCGTGTAAAGCCGTTTTGTGGAACGTCAAAGCGTTTTGTCTTTGTCTTTGACAGCTTCCATCCGAAATGTTATTAAACTTGTGCATATTTATGAATTTAATCTCTGCATTACAGCCACCGCATGTCACACATACGAGCAGCACACATATATTCACAGACACACGCACACGCACTCCCACACACCAACAGAGAGAGAGAGATGCTTATGCAGCCTTTGAAATGAGCAAAAATTACTGCAGGCGTTGTGGATGTGTATGTATGCGTGTATCTCAGTGTATATATGTGTGAATGTGGGTGTCTGTGTATGTGTGAGTGTGTGTGTATATGCAACTGCTCGTTATTCCCCACATGCTTCAATTCATATTTGTATACCCTAACATGGAGCACAGACAATTCGTTAGATGGTTTATGAATAATATCGTAAATTCGTTGCGTCAAAAAAAAATAAATAAATAAAAAAAAAATAAATAAATAAAAAAAAAATTATTAGTGACCCGCTCTTGAAACTTAGGGCAATGAAAAACAGATATTGGCCGATTCACAAACTTGCACAGACCTGCACACAACATTTCGTAAGTATCGGTAGATCCGTTTCGGAGGAGTTTGGCAACAAACACCGTGGCACGAGAATTTTATATACAATATAGATGATATAGTATAGATATAAGTTCGATTGGACTAGCATTTTCCATATAAGTCAGAGAAATATCATATTATTATTATCTTTAAGTGATGGAAGTATGTATTTTGGCTTTTGCAATGATCATCTCCATTGTGGATTCTATATGCCTTCAGGTAAATCATTTGGGTCTTGAAGTTAGAGATCTAACATATAAATGGCATATCTAAAAGTTATTAAGAAATATGACTTAGATTTTCTTAAGTTACGTCCCTTTATATTTATCATCGTATAAATTTAAAAATCCACATAAACATAATAATCCAAACTCAATTTAATAATCTCTTAACTTTATTTATTCTAGTGTGTGTGAACAAAGTTCGAGCCCAAACATTCCCTACCAAGTTGAGTAGTGTCCTATCGCATCGATCCTAAATGTTATATAAATATTCATAGCAACTTGTAAAACTTATATTTTAGTATTCATTGCAAAGTGTATATCAATTTTCATTCAACACATCTTCGACTACTACTTGATGGGTTTTTTTGCCTGCTTCAGTTTATGTGCTGGCATATGGGGCCGCTTTAGAGCTCTATAAGCCATATAGAACAAGGTTTGTGCTTTAAAATGCGTTTACGAGAGACACTTGAGCGTCGCCTCTTGATGGCTTCTCCTTTAATCAGTGGGAATGCAAGCGAGTCCTTTGCCATGCCCAAACATGCTATAACAGGAACTGCTGCCACTCCTGCTCTCACTCCTCCTCCCTTCGATGACGACCTGCTAATTGAGCGCTAAAAATAGCAGCAAAACCTGGCCCATATCCACGCCCATAAACGTCTGTATTTCGGTTTATTTTTGTGGTTTTTGGAGAACATCTTTGTTTGCTTTTCATTTGGTTGCATGAAATGTCAACATTAAGCTGCTTAAAATGTGCCCCACTGAGTGCAAAGATCAGTTGCTTTTAAAGCTAGCAATAAACTCTGCAAATGGCATGGATTAAGTGGGCATTGAAAGAGAAATAACTGCAAATTGCTTTTGAATTTGAATTAAAGAAATTTGCTTAAAAATAAACTCGCACAATTTCTAGGAAAACAAGGCCATAATAACTGTAAATAAGACAAATAAATAAATGTTTTTTCAATAGAACTGGAACACTAGAAACACCGATAACTGAAACAAAACAAGCTACAATTCCAGCAAATTATATTCGGAGAGAGAGAGAGAGAGAGAGAGAGAGAGAGAGAGAGAGAGACAGAGAGAGAGAGAGAGAGAGAGAGAGAGAGAGAGAGAGAGAGAGCTGAATGTCGTTTTAATTTTGACTTAAAGGGAATTAATTAAGGAAAAGAAAGATATGAATTTCTTTTCATTTTCGACTTAAATGGAATTGGTTTATATAATTCAAAACATTTATTGCCTATGTGATACCTGATAAGAGCCTAAATACTAAATTTCTATGATGTCAGCCTTCAAGCTCTCGACTTATGCTCAACTAAGCAAATCTCTTAATTTATTTTCAGTAAAAATGTATTCTCTATCATATATTTCATATTTGTAGAAGATATTGCTACAAAGAAATCCTTTGAAATGGGAATTTTATTTTCCTATAGTAAAACCCATTCACAGAGCTCAAGCTCAAATATAGAATAGTCGATAGTAGAATAATAGAAGGTATTGCTACAAAAAAAACCTTAACTATATCCATTGAAAATGGGAACATTTGTTGTCTCATAGTAAAGCCCCATATAGATGAAGCATAGTCTCATTCGACAAGTTCTACGAAAGTTTCAGGGTATCTCCTAGTCAGTCACTCCCGCCTCTTACCCTCCCATATATGTATGAATACTATAAGAATATTTTGTATCTCTTCTACTGCTTGAATTCTACTAAGGAAATCGAATTCTAAACCGAATCCCCACAA